GGATTTTTTTTTTGGTTTGTTTGTTCCTGCACCGCTGAAAATTTGTTTGGGTTTTTGCTTTTCTTATCTTTCCACTGTGGATTTGGGCTGAGAGCAGATCTATGCAGAAAAATAGCTGTTTCTCAGTCAATTGAAAAAAAGAAAATGGAGATGTATTACGCTGCTCTAGAACAGATCATAAAAAATCAGCAAGGGGCACATGGAGGAATAAGCAGGGAGGAAAAGAAAAATCAACACAGCCTGTAAAAACCAGCAGGAAAGTTCTGTAATTGACTTTTTTCAAGCTTAATTGAGTTATGTCTCATAGCTACTGTAATTAAACTAATAGAATATGGTGGATTTGAATTTGCATTTCTTTTCTACAGAGGTTTATTTAATCCTTTATGTGTGAACTCTTCAGAAATGACCTGACGTAATTCAAAACTGTCATGTCAATGGAATTACCACACGTGGCACACAGGGACACAAATAACTACAGTTCCCTCCTCTATGTCCACCTACTTTGGTGTCTCTTCAGCAAAGATGAGCATCTCTTTGGCTGGCTGCAGTGACAACACACACCTAGAGCTGGTTAAAGTTCTTCACATGGTGGAATATCTAAATGAGAAATGAGACGTGGGGGGGGATCTGCTTGCTGATTGTTATTTTCATATTTGGGAGCATTTTTTTGTGTTTCCTACACAGCAAATGGTGATTTTTCATGGAGGAAATATCAGAAAAAAAAAATCTCTCTCTCTTTATTCCCATGTTCACCATCGTGGACATTTCCCTTTGTTAGCCAAGAAGTAAAAAAGACAAGAAAAGGGAAAAAAGATGTCTCCATTCAGCCTCCCAGCATCATTACTGGATATTTTCTCAATGGTAGCATTTAGTATTTCTCCTGCACTGTTTAAATGCCCTTTAAAATTTATTTTATTTTTTTATTTTATTATTATTATTATTAATACCTATCAGACTTCTCTTGCAGAGTGGAAGAAATTTAACTGAAAACTCTTACCCTGAATATTGTAAATGGTTTTCTCCTGGGCCTTGATCCTACAAGGACCATATATAAAACCTTTAAAAATTCAGTAAGCAGGGTTTGGAGCTGTAGCTGGTTCACCAAGGAGAGGCAAAGTAAGAAAAGCCATAGGAAGGGGAAAAGACCAGCAGAGGAAATCTCCAGATACATAACCTGTTTGCAAATAGGAATTAGGGAGAATTTTTCCAGTCTCTCCACTGTTTTTAAAGGACTGGGCATATTATTTTTCCAGCTTCTCTGCTACGCTGTGCATTTGTTTGGCATTCTTTTCATGTATTAAAAAATCAGCTTGATCATCTGCATTACGGGACACAGAATGCTGCTTCTCTTTTCACATTTACCTCCCCGTGGCTGAAACTGTCACAGGGATGCCCTGCCCTGGCACCAGGTTGGCACAGCATCCAGAGAAGAGAGATATCTCTTTTTCTTCCCGATAATAGTTCTTCTGTCTGGTGATGCTCCAAGAATGTTATGCCTTTGATGGAAGAAACTGTGTTATATCCAACTGCAATGTTTGTTAAAATGTGTCAGACCTCTGCCTGGACAGTGAGGGGAGGGGAACCTCAATCTATTTTGGTTCTGAGACTCCATCACTGACCTCATTTTCCTAAATAGCTGAGGCTGGTGGAAGGACAGGGAACAAGCAGACCTCACACTGCAAACTGGGAGATTCACAGGAGTTCTTCTCACCTGAAAAAACATTCAGGTTTGCAAAGTTCAAAGAGGAATGATGCAGAATCACTCCCTTCAGTCTTTCCACTACATACACAGGATTAAATTGGATGGGGAGTTTCTCCCTAGGGTTTTTTGTTGGTTTTTTTTTTTTGGTCCAAAATAGTCCAAAAAGCTCAGAGGCACTAAAACAATATGCAAGACAAAGTCAGTTTTGACAAATAATTATTAAACTTTTGCAAGATGGAAGCCTAAATTCTTGCTTTTTTTTCCATTTGCAAATTAATTTTGGCTTTAAATGTCAGAATACTCCCCTCACTGACATGCAAGTTTGACTGTAAGAAGATAAACCCCAAACTTTGCATAAAATACCTCAGGGGCTCATATATATTTGAGGCAATAATTTTTTTTTCTTTTGTTTATTTTTAAATTTTAGATATTTTCATCCTGATTCAGAATGGGAGAAAAACTCTCCAGGTGAGAAATATTCACATGCCCTGGTCCAGGACCAGCTGTACCTCAGTGAGCTGCTGCACCTCACAAGGCAGATGAGGATGGCACTGAAGAGATACCCCTATGGACTGGTGGAGATTCAGGTGTCTCCTCTCCTACTTTGCTTTCTGAGCTGATGTCCATGGTTTTAATGGTGTGACAGATGCTCCATCAGGGAAGATCCCAGTAGCTGATCCAAGCCTCTGTGAGGATATCAGCAGTAACACAGGGGATGAAGAGGGTCAGGCACCAGGGTCAGTCGAGATGTTTGAAGATGGTGAATGTTTAAGTGAATTTTTGCACTGTGCCATGGGAAAGTTTCCCTCCATGGCTCAGTGGGGAAGGTCTTGTCTCCCTCCAGGGGATCATGGCAAATCTAATGCTGGATCAAGCAAGCTTATCTCCTGTGCTCCCTGTCCTCACCTTGGAGAAGCAGGCCATAAATCCACATGTTTTGACCTTCCTATGGCAGATTCTGTGGTATCCATCATGAGCCTATGGTAAGGCTGTATCTGCCCTGGTCTGAGCTGACATCACCTTTCCATCCCCATGGGCAGAGAAGAGATGCTTGTCTCACCTGGGGTGGTACAAGAGCAACTACCACACTCTGTTGTCTGCCTGAAATACCCCCTGACATGAACTGCAGTTTCATGAACATATTTTATTACTTTCATGAGAGCTGAAGTCCACATTTGGTCTCACACCCAATTACCCCGTTTGTTCGCTGGCACCACTGAACAACATCAGAAGGGGTGTTAAATTAAATTTGTATTTGCTCTGCTCTGGTAAAGCAACTCCACAGAGGTGCAGGAGTTAGCAGGGGACAGAAAAAATATAGGTAAATAGAGTCTTTTCAGGAAGGAGGAGAAAAATTAAAGCTTTGTTCGGGTGCCCCTGGTTTGGGTGACAGGCTACAAAAAATGAAAGCAGGGACTTTCAAAGGATGTTTTTGGACAGAGCAAATGTGCTTTGGTGGTTTTAATTTATTCAGGCTCCTTTGAAAGCGGCAGCCAAAAATCTGCTTCCTACAAATACATTTGGTTTTGGCAAAGTGGAGAATTCTGCCGGTCACAGGGGCTGATTTGACACAGTCAGGAAAACTGAAGCATGAGAGAAAAGCCCCAAACTGAAGTGTCTGGCACAACAGAAATATTTAAGGAAGATGCTCCACTTTCCTTGGAAGCTGATGCAACTGATGAGCTGCCCCCTCCGGAGGTCTGCTCTTGCTACAACTTTATGAGGGATAAAACACTGTTTCCCATGAAACTTGGCTTTTCTTACACCTCTATTTGCAGGAGTTAAATGCTTTTTCAAGAGGCATTAGTGTAGCTGAAAACATTCTTTCCCTCCATGTTTTAAAGAGGTAATTTGACCCCTGGCTGCTGCCCCGGTATGAAGCAAGGTGGGAGCAAGAGGAGCCAGAGGCTATGGGTCTACACTTCAGGTTAAATCATCTGCATGGACAGCACAGCTCTGCCCAGTCTGGCGGTGACAGACCCAGTCGACACTCTTGGGATACAAACCTATCACCTACCCCAGAGTCTGTCTGGATTTTTTGGTCCTAGGCAATATTAGAGATTAGATCTGGATATCATCCCTCCCTAATGCTCAGGATGATAGCAGTGGGTCCAAAAGATTTATTTGGTTTGGGGAAAAAAAAAAAAAAAAAGGTGATTTAAGGTAAAAGAACCCAAGGAAAATCACCAAAGGGTGAATGATGGGCCATTTCAATAAGATCGAAACTGTTCAATGCAGTAATTTTGAAGCTGGTGAATTTTGGTTACTTGCAAACCCTGCATTTTTGGCAAGTTCATCTATCCCCCCTCGGGTCCAAAGAGAATATAAAGCCCCTGTTTACACCTGCTCTGCCTCCAGCAGTTCGGCATTTTTCACTTGTTACATTCTCACTTGATAACCAGTTTTGAGCTGAGGGCTTGAGGATAGAACTTGGTGATCAGAGATTTTTTTCTACACACAGCTTGTGTTAATCAAGTTTTTGTCAAAGATCCATGTAATTCATGGCGTATGAACACACCAGGAGTTCATACAAAGTTTTTATTATTCTCCACTGTCAAAGTTAGACCAAAATGCTCTCCAAAAAGAAAACTCCGAAATTTGTAAATAGAGTTTACACTTCACTGCAGATCAATGAGGAAACAATATAGATCAAAAATAATCCTGTGAATTTGGCCTTTATTTTCTCCCAGCCAGCAGCATTTAGCCAATATGTTGTCCTCTTTAAACAAGTGCTATTAAAAAGTAAACGAAAAATGCTTGCCTTATAGGAAGTGCTTAAACAGGAAATTCACCTTCAGATCATTTCCCAGCTGTTACAAAATTAGCTTCAGCAGAGAAGGGAGAAGTGGAGTGGTGAAGTGCACAATCATTTCTCTTCCTTAGAAACACCTTTAGGATGCTGACCCAAGAAGAGCAACTAGCTGCCAGTTGAGGTTGGGAGGGTGGCTGATTGTAACTTTGATACTAGCTACTAAAACTGAGAAGGAAGGGGGAATAAAAGCAAAAGAGGTCACAGTTCTGTAACACTGACAGTAACACACAGGTGATGGGTGCTGTCAACATTATAAACTATATACAAGACAAAGCAGGGCTCTTTCTTTCCCCAAAGAACGCAACAACAACAAAAAAAGGTGAATATAACACAGTTGGCACCTTATCTTGGGGACGAGGAGAGGGGGCTCCTCCTGAACGTTACAGGCTTAACTCATGGCAGTCCAGAGGACAGCTCATCTGTCTGAACATAAATCCTCTCCCCCTTCCTCCTTAAATAGTTAGGGAAGACCAGGCCGGTAGCAATGTCTGATGCAATCGTGGTGCTAGTAAGACGTTAATAAAGGCAAAGTCTTCCCTGAAAGGGAGCACCTTACTCCAGGAAGAGATGGGGGTGCGTGGGGATTCAAGGAGTGACATGTCTAGTGCCAACCTCTGGTGCATCTTCTCGTGGGCAATGGTAGCTCCTCTGGCAGTCAGTTGGGCAGGGTGTCGAGCCCGAGGGACGCGGCGTGCTGCTTTGCCCGGAGCCTTAGGTTCTCAATACTCGTCGTTTTACTGTTCAGGCTTGGAAGGGAGCTGGAGGCCTGCAGGATGGGTGAGGACCAGACCTGCTGAGCGTGGGAGAGCGACTGGTAATAGGACTGACAGTGCAGAGAGCTCAGTGGCGCCATGTTGACGTTCATGCCCAAGTAGGGCATGGCAGACGGTGTCCCCATTTCAAAGGAGGAGTAATGGACCAGGTTGTTGGTGGCTGCCATGTGCTGGCGGAATTGCTCCTGCAGGCGGAAGAGGCTCAAGGGAGAGGAGGAGTAGGAGTGAGTCTGGGCCAGGCCGCTGCTGGATGAAGGCGTCACAGTTGCGCTGATAGGGGACTCTGTAGCAGGAGACAGAGGGGATGGGGGTTATTCCTACAGGCTGGATGCAGGTGCTGATTTGCACCCCATTACAGCTGGGACAGCTCTCTTGTATTGGTGGGCAAGCGAGAGGGGTTGTGACAGCTCATGAGAGCTAAAAGTGTGTCTGTTCCATACTTGGGACCTTACAGTATAGAAATGAGGCTGAGCTCTTTGCTCTGCCTTTCCCGATGCTGCTGGGCACTGTTCTCCCCAAGATCTCACCTGAGCAGAAGGTCTTTGCTCTTTCTGCAACAGACATCATCATACCCTCTGTGAGTACAATGGCTCTGTTTCGTGCTGAGGACAAGAAGACAAATGTGGGCAGCCTACCTGTGAACACCCACACCACAGGGAATGTGGGACTATACCCAACCACCAACACCCCCCTTGGAAACGCCAGGTCCTGACACCAACCCCCACGAAGATGCTGCCCCCTCACCTGCTTTTGGGCTCGCTCTCTTGCAGTTCAAAGCCTTGCTGTCCACACCAGGGCTCTTGTCCACTTTAGCCTCATCCAAGGTGCTCTTAAACTCCTCCTCTCTGTCGGTCTGGTCCTCTGGTGCCGACTCGCTGGCCGACTGCTCCGACAGGGTTAGGTTGAGGTCTGTGCCAACCTCACTGGGGAGGCTCTGGACCTTCTCGGTGTCCGGGGTGGTGGCCTGGGTCTCCAGCACAGGCGGCTCCGTCTTGCCCTCGCTGTGGCTCCCTTCACAGTCCTTCTGCTTCTGCAGCTGCTCTTTCTGCAGGCTCCGCTGCTTCTTCCGGAATTTGGCTCTCCGGTTCTTGAACCAGACCTTCAGTGCCACAAACAGCAAGTGAGAAAAAACAGTGAGAATCCTGCTTAGTGCCAAATTCAGCATCATTCAGCCTGGGAGCTCAGGAACCCCGAGCAATGAGGTACTGCAAGCCCGCTGTGCCCGAAGGTCATTCCACTTTGCTGCACCTACTGTTTTCAGTGCACCTACCAGTAACACATCAAACACATTTAAAAAAAATATCCAGCCTCTGTGTTGATTCTTTAAGACACTCCATTGCTGGTGGGTTTTTTGGTTTTGTTTTTTTTTCTTCCTGAATTTGTTAGGCAGTTGCACCCAAACAGAATGTCTTGTAGCTGTAATGTTTGATGACATTACATTGGCTTACACTCTGTTAGTTTCTAAAACCATTTGGTTATAAGTGGTGCCAACACTTAAAGTAAGTCACTGGCGTAGACTGTTATCTGGGAACTGAATTTAGGGAAGGAGGAGAGAATCCTTACATTTTTCAGCCTAAATCAGTAGACATGGATTAGAAGAAATATATTTGCAAATCTTGTTAGTGTTGTTTGGTTAGTTAGATAAGGAAATAAACATTTTTTAGACCAAAATGTCTTGATATTTATGTAAAAGAACTATTTTTTTTTACTACTTTTTCTCTTTACAGTGAAGAACTTGCTATTTGTCTTTTAAAGCCCAGCAATGCAAGAACCTCACCACCAGCAGGTTATGAACTAGCACATTGCACTAGTTGAAACTAAAAAAAAAACAAAACCAAACAAAAACTGAAAACCAAACCCAAACCTTGGCCTGAGATGTTACAAATATTGACACTGGTGGAAAAGAGCAGCTGGAATTACTTGGGTCTCTACTCTTCTGAGAAAGCCAGAAAAGCCTTGCAAATAAATTAGTAGACTTCTATTGCTGTTTCTAAAATTTCCCCCAAAGAAATGTGAAAGAACAAATGAAAACCAGTGTACACTTCAGACAATCCTAAATTTAAAAAATGTGTATGTGGATTAAAAGTTACTTTAACAGATGTATGAATTTGGATTATTTTAGCCTCCCTGCCCCCACCTTCGACAGCTTTACTGCCCAAAATCTTAGGTTGCACTGGAAGAACCCTGAAAGGTCAAGGGAGCTGTCAACCCTCTGGGAACCCCACTAAATTCTTTTAAGCATCCCCACTCACAAACCCACGAAATAGCAGTACCTGGACTCTGGCTTCAGGTAGGTTTGTGCACATAGCCAGCCGCTCTCTCATCACCACGTCTGGGTAGTGAGTCTTCTGGAAGGTCTTCTCCAGTGCCTCCAGCTGCTGGGCAGTGAAAGCCGTGCGACTTCGCCTTTGTTTGCGGTGCTGGGATCCATAACGTGCCTCCAAAATGATGTCTTGAAATGTACAGCCGTTGGAAGACAAGAAAAGTGGCCAATTTAATTATTGGAATTTGTATGTTGACAGTTGAATAAAGCACTGGCTAACATCAGACGAAACTACAAAACGGGGTTTTTTTCTTGCTTTAGAGCTAAAAAGACACATACACACATTTTGCTGGATAATTGAGGTGTCTGAGGAGGCAAAACCATGGTAGGGGGGTTGGAACTAGATGGTGTTTGAGGTCCCTTCTGACCCAAACCATTTTATGAGTCTGTGATTCTGGAAGTCTGTTCTGGAGAGGGAACCTCTTTCTATGACAGCTGTGGAAACTGCTGAGACTGTGGTGCTAAATTTGGTTGAAGCAAGTCAATCTGCTCCAACATCAGTGGGGCAGGACACGCAGATGCCCCGACCCTACCATGGCCTAAGCATCTTTCATTAAGAAACACAATTAAAAACAACGTGGGAAGATCCCCCATTGTACTTCTGTAGTGACTCACATGTAGTTCACTGTAGTATTCAAGGCATGATACTGGACAGCTGTTTTGGTCTCCAGTTCAGCAAAGCATTTAAGTTCATGTGCTTATGTTCGTTTAGCTTGAAAGCTTTGCTGAGCACAAACACTCTCCAGCATCTGGGGTGGAAACAACAGCCAGAACCACGTCCAGCCCCACTGATTGCAAGCCCAGAGCTCATGTGCTGAGCTCTTCTCAGTAGAGCATCTACTCACAAGGCCTGACTTTGCAAACTGTGCTCGAAAAATTGAGGGCAGAGAAGAAATTCAGACTGGGGAAAATCTGAGGCCAAGAGTAAAGGGCTTATTATTTTACCAGAGGCGTTATTATTGCACAACAGTTAGTGGGAGTAGAAAGATCTTAAATCAATGAAAATAAGTTACTTGAAAATGAAAAAAACCCACCCTTTATTATGCAAGTTGGGACATGCTGTGCTACAGCCTTGGAATGAAACAGTCTGGCGAGAGGTTTGCTCTCAAAAAGGAAATGCAGAAAGAGCAGTGTCTGGTATCATTTTTAATTCAGTTAAGAATGTGACTTCCAGTAGAGGAGAGGAATGAGCATACAAGAAAACAACCTAACAGGGAGAAAAGTTGGCATTATCAAACGCAGGGCCAGATGAAGGCTCTGGTTGCTGTTTACTTGTGCTTTTGTCACGAGCATCGTGACATGAATCTAAACAATAAAACAAAACCTGCTGTCAGGCCAGCCCCAGCACCACACAGCCAGGTTCCAGATATGCTGGCTAACGAGCGTAGCAAATCAGCTTTGCACCACTCAAACATTCCTCTTCCAAAATTTCCAGCTGTTTCATTCTAGGTCAGCATTTGCAGTGCCTTTCTGGGGGATTGCCAAAGCCGTGTGGTTTTGGCAACCTGGCAAAGATGTGATCAGGCTAAAGGTCTTCAACAATATAGTGCTGGTTGCATACAAGGGACTTTTGTGCTCGAAGTATCAGAGCAGCTCGGGGAGTTCAAACGCCGGTGGTAGCTGCCCCTTTTGGAGGCAAAGGGACCATCCTTGATGCATCCAGGCACAGCTCACAGTGCAGCCAGGCAAGGAGAGGGGATGTTGCAAGACAAGAAATGAAACTGAAGCTGCCCCCAAACATTTTAAAAAGCTAACATTTGTGTTTCAAGTGCATGAAAACAGGAGAAAGGGCACTGGTTAAACACCCTACCTGCAGGCTGGAATATTCCCGAATTTCTAGAGTAGAGGTTAGACTTACCAGCTCCCCAGAGGCAGCAGCTCATGCATTAAGTTTGGCCACTCCAACGAGAGCCAACCAGCAATTATTTTAATGTTTTAACTATGTTTTCAGGCTTTGTGCGAGAAGGAGAATATAAATTGCAGGTGAGGCTCTGCAGTTACAATCAGAAACCTCTGTTTTCTGACTTAAGGTCATTTGCTTTTGTGCTGCTTTATTCTGACTGTCCCTGGAAGGCAAATGAGATCTATAACCTGCACTGAAAGATATTCAGAAGTAACAGAATGTGAGGCAACTGCAAAGGAAACAGCTCGTAGGTATATAATGCCTACCCTGCCTATGATAAGCAGACAAGGGGACTGTGGGATTTAATTTGGAAAGTCTTCCAAGTGGGTTATTAATTTTAAAGATAAGAGGTCAGGAAACCAATTGAATCTCCCAGTCAAGAATATGAGAATAGATTTTTTTATTCTTTTTTTTATCTTCCTCTGCTTTATCCTAGTTAGGGTCAAAGACATTAAGTCCTCCATGCTCTACTCTAAAAGATACAGGTGATCACAAAAACCTTTCAAGGGATCCTTGCAGCAGGAAAGGGGCACCTTGAGATCCGTGGTCTGCAAGGCACATTGCAGAGTTCAGGGCCTTCTGCTCCCACCTGACCACCTACATACTGAAAAGGTGAGGGAATAAAGGGATGGACGACCAGGACAAGGAAAGTGCCCACCTGTCATCATTCTGCAGCCCAGCAGTAGAGCCAGAATTAGAGTCCAGGTCTCCTTAATTCCTCTTTGGTTGTTTATCGATGAGGACAATGACTCCCTTCCCTCCCCTATGCTGCCACAGAGATCCCACAGCCACGGAGTGGTCTGAGGAATCAGTGGTCTGAGGAGGTCACTACTGACAGCTGGATAAGGGAACATTGTTGGCATGAAGATTTGACAGTCAGCTGTGGTTCACTGATCCGAAGAGTCCGAGACCTTTATCATCATGTCTTTGTGGACTACACACCTGGGAGGACCTTCCTGAAACTTGTGCATCCTTATTTTGGTGTAGGCCCTTATCTGTTAAATTTAGGCCACAAGTTTTCTGGATAGATAATTTATTTCACCTACTCTAGGCTAGGATTCACTCTACATCTTTTTTTTTTCCTACATTTTTCTTTTCTCTTTGATATCAGACAACTAGAAAGCTATCTTGGAACAGAGGCATATTTTCAGTCAGTCAGGGAAGATTATTCCATTCTGAGGTGGTTTCTAGAATCACATCTATAGTAACTTTTTGCTCTGGCTTCCGTGTCCTGGTTGTCAGGTCTGCTCTACCTCACTGCATCCAAGTCCTGACCAAAACAGTGATGTTGCAGCTGCTGCTCACTTGCATTACAGGAGCCTCTGATGATCTCAGCCAGGTCTGGATGTTTTGTGACAGGTTGAAATTTAGAGCAGATACATGTGCCCTACCATACCAAATATTCTCAGGTCTCCATCTATTACTTTTGAAAAATTCCCCCTTCCAAATCATAAAATACAACTTGGACTTTGCACTTCCTTCTAAAGACAGCATTGATGCAGGGCAGTTACAATCATGGTTGAACACAGAAAAACAGCTCAGATGCTCTGGACCAGCAGCTCCTGTCCCACTGTCCCACCATCGACAGTGCTGTGTTAATAACACAGTCTGGGCAAAGTCACACAGACTTGATTGGAGCCTAAAAGGCTCTTTTATGGAAGGCAGCAGGACTTGCATGAAAATGTCACCCTAGTCAAGGTCTAGGATTCCCCATGAAAAAACAGATCAAGGTTAAACCTAAGGAAGATCCAAATGAAGATTGTTTGCCAGAGGGAAAGAGTGGTTTGTAGGACAGAAGTGGAAAATACCTGCTTGAAGGGACAACACGGAAAAACAAGCTATGGCCTGGGATGGCCAGAGATGGCTGTCAGGGGATGCAAGATCTGGACCCCTTGGTGGGGGAGTCCAATTCACTGTTTGTTCATGTTCGTTGTGCTCTTATTTGCGAACAAGAAAGTAAAATTTTCTGCTATTTTCTGTCCCCTTTTTAAAACATATTTCAGTGTCTTTTTAATTCTCTCTTTTCAGTCCCATATAGTGGGGCCACACCCATCTTACCCCTGAGCATCCCAGCTGCCGGAGGCTGGTCTGTAGCAAGGTGCAGTGGCCCTCTGACAGCCAGCAGTGCAGGGCAAGTGTCCCCTGCAGAGCTTGGCCACATGGCCAGTGCAGAGGAGCACACCGTACCAGCTGTCTGTGTCACACACCAACTCACAAAGAAGAGTTTCCCTCAATGCAAGCCAACAAGGGTTTTGTGGCTCTGGTTTGTTTCTTTTTTTTTCTTCCCCCAGGGAACAGCAAAAGCCATGAGTTGTTCTTACCAGCCAGTCTCTCTGCCAAGGTGAGGGCGTGCACCGAGGGCCGGTAGTCGGGGGCGTGCTGGGCTTGCTGAGCTGCCTGCTGGTGCAGGTTGTACATGGCACTCAGCGAGTTCATGGCGTGCAGGGAGTAGCCGTTCACTCCATAGTGCTGCATGGTGACATAAACCTGAAAAACATCAGCCGGAGGAGAAAGGGGCTTAGGGATGTGCTGTCCCAGCATCCTGGTGTCTCAGCAGAGCCCTGGAAATACTGAGCTCAAAATTAAGCTGCTGCGTGCAAAGCTCATGTCCAACCTCTTAACTCCAACAGGTTCTGGGACGGGAATCAATTCCTATACCAACACTAGTCTGGCTTCCAAGCTTAAAGCCTGGCACCTGACTATATCCCACTCAAAATATGCTTATCAAAAGATGGGAAAGTTTTTTCACACGCCACAATAAAATTCAGCATGTTACTGTGACTTCTAATGAACTGACCTAGCTCTATCCCAGGACTAGCTGGGATTTTGTCCCTATCATTGCTTACAGTGGACTGTTTCATAATCCCATTGCTGTAATATCAAATAATCTTCCCTATCTGAACCCACTCATGTGTAATTTGCTCCCATTCATTTTTCTTAAGGTTCTTCTTAAGAAAACACAAATGATACAGAAAAGAAAAAGAAAAAAAAAAGGCATGTGGTGTAAAAGAAAATAAATCTGTAGCGTAATAGCACACCAAAAATGTTATGGTTAAAGAGGGAATAAGGTTTGCAATAAATACTGACATTTCATAGCTCAATAGCAAGGAAATTATTTCAGAAAACTAATGGCTTTTTTTTTTTCTAGTGTGGGCTCTGCATGAAACTTCAAGCTCTTTTTCCTTACAGACCATCTGTAAAACTGAGCTAATATTGATCTCAAAAGCCAAGCGATGCTTCATTCATCCCCGCTGTAAATGACTGAGGGCCTCCAGGATGCCGTTTCTGCAGTTTGTAAGACATCAGAGAGGAAGTTGTGAAACATTAGCCACAAAATAAATTTTTTAAACCGCCTTTTACATCAGCAAGTCATCATCTGGAAAGTCAGCGCAATGAATGAACGTTCAGAGAAAGAGGGGCAGCTGGACTAACTTAAGGAAAGCAGACGTCTTTTTTAGGCAACCTCTTAGAAAACAATTAAAACGCTGAGGGGGGAGGTGGTTCAACACCCAGGGTTGGGTTTCAGGAGAAACCTGATGCGTTGAACAGCAAAAATCTGGAAGAACAATAATCTGTTGTATTTTCTGTACTGAGAAAACACCTTCATTTTTGCCCATGATTTATACCATGGAGGACAGACTCTGAGTGAAGAGAGAGAGATGGAAATGAGTTGGTCCCACTATCCCTCCTGCTCCGAACTCCCATTCTCTCCATCTTGACATAGGAAGCACAGACTTGGAGTGACCCTGTTTAACATCCAGAGATCAAGCTGTAGCTGCTCGGAAAAGCAGTTGAATTTTTTACTATAGAGTCTGGTAGTGACCTGGGGCATCTTGTGACCTCCCCCTCACAAGCATCTCTCTGTCACGGCACTCAGGATCAGAGGAGGGAAGCCATGCAGCTGGAGTTGGGTAAAATGCTCTGCCAGCTCAGGGATGACCATTGTTGCTCTAGGATGTTTGGGGTTTGTTTTGACTGAGGGATTTTGGGGAAGCAGCGTGAGTTCTGCTTTTGGGATTGTCTTCTCAAAGAGGCTGCAGTAACCCCTAATTTGGGAATCTAGCATTCAACCTCATTCCTGTTTCCCCAAGTCCCTTGTGCTTCACCACTGCATCATTTCAGCACTGAGAGCGCTGATGGAGGGTGACAGATCCAGGTGGGGTGACACCACAAAGATGTAATACACACCCTGATGCCCTTCATCTGCTTTCTGTCTACCTATTCACCCACTCTGGGTTCACTCCCCTTACCCTAAGCTGTGAAAATGGGCATTTTTTGTTCAGATGCCAACCTCACACAAAAATGCCATAGCTCTGCTCTAACACAGCCTAGGGAAGACCTAAGCAATGCCAAAATTGTTTGCTGGTTCTCTGATCAAGGTGAGGGACTCTACCCGCCAACAGATTTTCAGCATTTATATTTATTTTTCCCATAAACCACACTGGGTTCACACTGAAATTATAGCTGTGATGTTGCTTTCCTGGACTGCACAGCTTTGCTGCTGGTGGCATGTCTTAAGGGACAGGAGTGTGTCCCAGTGACATGTCCCCTTAACGTGGCCACAGAGGACATCTCCCATCACCTGGGGAATACTTGCAGGTCTCTGACTCAGACACTGTTCTGGGTGGTTTCAGTGACATCTGAGGCACAGCCTCACCCACCCTTGGTGTGGTTTATTTCCAGAGAGCATCATCCCCCCCCAGCCTGCAGCAGGGCAGTGCCAGCACACACCGAGCTGGCTCAGAGGGCAGCAGTGCTCAGCCAGTCCTGCTCATCGGCGAGTCCGCCGCAGCCGGGTGGAAAGCTGTTCCCTGCCTCTCACAGACAAGAGCAGGACTGCCTTTTCTGGCCAACACAGGCAGCAAAACAGAGATTTGCAACTTTGTTTTGCCTCCTCCCCTCCCACCCCCTAACTTGTGAACCAGCTGGCTGGTTCCACCAGCTTTGGCCAGCGGGGTGGAGGTCTCAAAGCTTATTAAGTTCCTGCGTGTTTCGTGAAAACCGTTCGAGGACACAGAACCTATTAACTGCCCTGGGCTGCTGCCAGACCTCTGTCCTTAATAGATGCAGGAGAATCCACACCGGGGCTCAGCCTTGCCAGAAGATACGTGGGAGGCCAAGTGTCTTTGACTCCCAACTCACAGAAATGCCTGTTTTTCTTTTCTAATCCCCCTTGCATGCCGTCGGTTGTGTAGCAAGCTGGCACATTAAAGGAAAAATGAAGAGGGAGAGGAGGGGAATTTTCCCATACTATTCAGTCTTCCAAGGACACTGCCAATGCTGTTGTGTCTGGAGCCCAGTGTTTCCACTGAAACACTTTCTCCAGGAATATTTCAGCTTATTTGATTGCTAAAAGATGATTTTATGTGTATACATGTCTCTGAACAAACTCTTCTGGGTGACCTAGAAGAAAGCGCACCCCAAAAAAAAAAAAAAAGAAAAGAAAAAGGACTTAATTAGAATGGACTCAGGACAGGAGTCAATGCCCATCACAGCTTTGGTGGTAACTGCCTGGTACAATGCAGTGCAGACAACAGGCAGAACTTCCTACTCACTTGTGCAGCAAATGTATCATCCCAGATTCAGTATAAAAAATGAGGGAATTTACTGAGCGAGACTGTTCAGCCTAGTAAGCAAAGTTAACTGAGACCACAAACAGCTCCTGTTTAACTGTCAGCTCCGAGCTCACTCCAACCCCAATAAATTAAATATTTAAAAGACATCATGCAGCAATTTTTTTTGATGGAGAAAGCCATTCATCAAGCCACTGCTGTGTTTCACAAGCTGTCGAATAGTGCTTACACTGGTTAAAATAATCTTTATATTTCATTAAGCAACCAAATAAGCTGATCCCTTCCCACTGGCTGTATAGATGGTTTTAATTTTCAAAATCTGCAAATGCATCTTTTATGTCTCTGGGTGGCTGGAGGGCCTTGGGAACAGCCGCAGCCGGGAGGAGGATGAGAGCAAAGTTCGAACTCCTGCTTAGTGGAAGAGAATGGGCTTGAGCAGTCAATAAGCTGGGAGGGTAACGTAGGGCCCATCCTGGAAGAAAGGGGATGCCTCATCCCCTGCTTTTGTGCATTAGAGATCATTGAAGTGTTGGGAGCAGTGGAGAAAGGAGATGGGAGCTGAGGAAAGGGGCAGGAAAACAATAGGTGAGAGAAAAATACCACTGCCAAGAGCCTGTGGGCTGATCCTGCAGCGTTTGCTCAGCACAGGGGGGTGGGTGCTGCCATGCAGTGCCCAGGGCTGGTACCTCCTGGGCCAAGTGGTTTCCTTCAGTGGCCCTGAGGGGCCATGCATCAGTGACTCTCCCATCCCCAGCTTCACAAGACTCGCTCTCTCCCAGCTGCCCACATTTCACAGCTCCAGGCTGTGAGGTCTCCCCACCACGCCCTGTGCCAGACCCTGCTGGGGTTCCCCCTCCTTCTGTCTCTGCAATCCTGGCATTGCTACCTCAGTCCCAAAATTCTCCTACGGCTTTTTACCTCTCACTTATATTTTCACTATGGAAAACTCACGGCTGCTGTGCCTGTTTTTCATCCCAAGCCTGCAGACCTCAGACTGCAGGGGCTGTGTCCTTCTAAGATCCAGCCTCACAGAGAGGACACAAGATTCCCCTTAGCTTTAGCTGCTGCTGTCTGTGAGAAGTCCAGGTTTTTCCACTCCCTGCATTGCTTTGAGACCAGGCAATGTAGGTCTCTGCCCATCACAGACTAGCCCAGAGAGCAGACCACTCCTTATTCAGCTGCTGCTGTTCAATCTGATGCAAAAAAATGTGTACATTTACCAGCCAGGAACAGGAACCCTGTTATCCCAGAACAGATTGGGATAGCTCCAACCAACAACATGCCTCCCATCCATCCCTTCCCAACACTGGCCTCGGAAGCCTCTGGTTCCCATGAAGTCGTATAGCACAAGACTGGTGCAATTTATTGTGCACCACTTAACAGTGTGGCATGAAGGGGAGATTTGGCCCTGGGTTTTAACATTATCAGCTTTAGCTTCTCAATTTTTCTATTTTCCAAGTTTCCCTGTTTAACTGGTACCTAATTTTGTATAATTTTTCATGTAATTCTGTCCTGAGAGAAGATGTGAAGAGAGACCCATGCGTTTCCTCGCCAGGTGAAAACTCCTGTTCTGAATGGCTTGTGTATGTGTGAAAGCAAGACAGATCTGGGAACAATAAAACATCTTTTAAAAATGAGATACTGAAGTTTTTTGAAAAGTACCTTGCAACAAATCATCCATATTTTCCCTTCTATCAGGAGGAAAAAAAAAAAGAAACAACACCCAAACAAACCCACAAAATTCACTCTGGAGCTGAATTAAGCAGACCCAAGAATTTGAGATCAGGGCCATTTTCTGCTCGCTCTTGTCCTCATTTCACAGCCTTACTCCCCCCATCAAAACATCATCAGTCCGTACCTGGTTTCACCTGCCAGCCACACACAAAATCTTTAGCAAAATTACAGAACTGACACAACTCATTAATGGAGAAATGGATCTATCCCTGCAGCCTGCAAACTCAAGTGTCATTTGTGCTGGCCACAGAGCTCGTGTTAGTGCTGGTGAGCTTGTCCCCGTCCTGATCTGTCCTGAATAAAGGCATCCCCAGCAGATCCCTGTGCCAGCACTGCTCTGAAGGAAAAGAGTTTTAAATCAAGACAGTGGATTTGTTCCCCAAATCTATACTGTGTGAGATGGAGGGATTTTCTTCAATAGGTTATTCTGGCCAGTTTTCCCAGGGAGAAACAAACAAACAAACAAAAAAAAAAACAGGACAAGACATTTGCTCTTCTCAAGCAAACTGTTGGGTGAGATGAGTTTTAGGCTGGAAACAGGACTTGAAGATTTGCAGGGGCTTTGGACCATTTTCTCTTTTCCCTTCAGCTTGTCCCTCCAAATAGTGAGTCATCCCAAACTCAAAGAAGTACTGAGACTAAATTCATTGATCTACACAAGATGCTTAGGTGCCATCACAAAGAATGGGGCAATAAAACCTGTAAGTTAAGAATACTGATTTTTTTCCTAGAGAACTCGAGAAGAGGATACAGGATACCAGAGTCTGTTTTTTACTGGTAGGCACTGTGGGGTGTTGTTACATTATCACTTCATCAAAGCTGTCCCAATACTGGGAAGGTTGGTAATGGTGGGGTGGGGGGGTGTATGAGGCCTTCTTTATGTGGGAAATAAGCTGTACAAAAAAAGTTACATCTGGACTTTGGAAAGCCATTGTCAGAAAGGAATTTCAACACTGTAGTTCATTACTTAGAAAGAGAGATTCACCACAGATGCATTTGAAGTTTGGAAGAGCTCGGCACGGCCTCAGGTTTGTGCCCTATACAAGGCGCAGCTTGAGCATGGGGAAAGCATCAGTTAAAAAAACCCCTAACATGAAACAAAACTCTGGTACTCCTGATTTGTGTTCAGGGGCCTGCAGGTGACAGAAAAAAACCAGGAGCAGCCCTGTCAGATGAAAGGAAAATTGTGGTCCTCGGCCCGAGCACCTGCTAAGGTTGGTACAAATCACTACTCGTGTTTATGCAAAGCACAGGAACACACTGTTCATTACTAACAGGTAATAACAGCAAATGGTTTGTGCTACAACATCCCATCCCCCTTATCACCACTGGCAATAAACATCATCAAAAATAAAATCACAACGAAATATCCGCCCCCCTCTCCTGAAGCTGTTCTGCGCTATGATTTTATGCTTTAATTCCTTATTCAGGAACACTTTAAATCAGCAAGATGAATAACGAATCTCTGACTCTGTGTATCTCACATTCTAGGAAAACAGGCTCACTCTATATAAAGAGATTGGGTTTATATGTATTTGGTACTAAATGAATTACATACCTGGGGGGTTATGAATAAATGATCCATGCAAGATCATTCAATCTTTTTTTTTTTATATATCCCTAAATCTTTTAGATATATAAAGGTCCAAAATCACGTAAGATAATAACCAACCTGTTATAAATCAAGTTTTGTTCCTCACGTGAGATTACCGAATGTCTAAGGAAACAATTTCACCTTTCTAGTGGATGAAATATAAATAATTTGAAATACTGCAACACATCACAGTTTCTCATTCAAACGTCAAAGTCTGAGAGCAACATGCACCATAAAAATAGGCTTCCAAAGGACTCTTCTTGTAACTGAAATAAAGGAATTGAGAACGGCTCTCAAAAAAATTCCCAAGACTTCACATTTCTGATCTTCCTGCAATATTTTTACACCCGTGTAAATCCCTGGATTTAAATGGTGTTAATTTCTTACTGCAGGCAGAGATCTTAATTGGGCAGATCTACTTAAACGAGTCATAACTCTCCAAAAGTAAAACCTGACCAATTGCACCAATTCTTGCAGCTCACATTCAGCCATAACTAGTGACCTTGGTATAAATAAAGAGATATTTTTCTTAAAACCAGGAGGACTGCTAGCAGCTGAAATTTGGAAATACTTCCAGTTAGGGACAGCATCACAGTTTTGGGGTAGACCTTAATAATTGCCTCTGTTGAGGCTGTGCTGCTGATGAGCACAGCAACTGTGTTTGTAATGCTCATCTATTTGTAGCGGAAGCATAATAAGATTCTTGTGAGTTTTATAAAACAAACCTCAGAGCATACTGCTGGGACAAGAAAGTTTTATTGTAGGACTCGAAAAACTCTGACACCAAGTTGTGAGCAGCTGAGATAACAGGCCCTGGCTCACAGAGGTAACTCTCATCAGCTGCTGCGATTTTTATTTAAGGCTTTTGTGAAATCATCATTTTTCCCCCAAAAGCCCCATATAACAGAACTGAGCCATTGATTAGATGGTTCCTGGCAAAAGACTTTCTAGTGCCTCTGTTTGCAGAGGCAATCTTCAGAGGGGCAGGCTCACTATGTCTAAAGTAAAATAAAGACATCCTGAAAGTCTCTGCTTTTGAGTGAGGGATAAGTTTTAGAGCTTGGAGCCCAGCAACTTGCCCTGTCGAGCCAGGACTGGCATCACTAAACATCACTGTGGTGCTAAATCTGTTGCTTGTCATGATTTACACAAGACAATGAGTGCTTACAGATCAAACCAGGAAAAATCTCCTTTCCCTCCTTCAGAGCAGCGCTCAAGCCTCGGGAAAAGCTCTTAGAATTTATATTGAAGTGAAGCATTTTCCTGGCTAAATAAGAAAAGCTCTTAATATGAGCATCACTTTGACTCTAGTTTCTCATCTCATTCTGCTTCCAGCTCAGTCAGCAGTAAAAAAAAAATTAAAAAAAAAATGCATTTAAGATTTCTTATGATTAATAGCACAGCAGAAACTGAACCCTACAGCCCAGCTCTGCCAACACTGCTGCTGCACTCTCCACATCCATGGCTGTGAAATGCAGCAGCATCCCACTGCAGCCAGGCTCACACATACCTGTGATGCCCACCTGCCCTCACCTCTCCAGACTTTACGGCATCTCTGCCTCCAGACTGCTCTGACTTCAAGACTTGGAGTACCCTTAAAGCCTCTGCAATCAAACTACTGAATTCACAAACAGCTTAAAGGGTTTATCTTGGGTGTTTATATGAAAAAAGTACTTTCCCCCATCCCACCCCTTCCAAAACAAGCATGTTTCTGGCTTAGCTGTATTTCCACACAGTTTGTCTGGCTCAGACCTTCCCCTCACTTCTGTGAAAATGGCTTTGCTTGAGAAGCATCATTTTGTTTTCCCTAATGCTGGCAAAGGGAATTTTCCAAACCAGACTTCCCAAACCCTGTCCTTCCCCAGGGCTGCTGGCAGCATGAGGGTGGCTCGCTGCTTTCTCTCTGCCCCCAAAACAGCTTTTGCCTGCAGCATATTTGACTGCACATTTCTTCCAGGAGCAAATTGACCGGCTTGAAGGCACCTTCCTGGGGCTGCTGTTGGGGGTTCAGGAATCTCCACTGTCCCCGGAAGATAGAGCGATATCCTGGAGGATTTTACCCATGGCATAGTCCTGCCAAAATACGTTTCAAGCCTGTGACATTTAGTGACAATGACCTCTGTCTGTCCTGAGCACCACAACCATGATGCTGATCTTACGATCTAGTCCTGAGCCCTAACAAGGGAGATCAGACACTGCAAGAAGCGCTGGCAGTCCTGACAGATAAGCTTTGTAAAGATTTGCTGAGGCAGCTGAAGACATTCCTAGTCCTGCCCCTGCTGCTCTCAGGTGCTACAAGCTTGGAAGCCAGGCTGGCAGAAGGGAATGCATGCTTACTCCAGGCATTCCCAGTGCAATGCCTCAGCTCCAGGGGCAGCAACTGGAATGAGGCATGGAGGGAGGGTGATTTCTCCACCCACCATCACTACTCCTCAAGTAAAAAGTTGGAGCTGTATTTCTGGGTGTTAAGCTGAGAGCAGCTAGGTACACACACAAGGAAGAGAGCAACATGTTTTTGTGAAATGCACAAATGTGGTTTGTGCTGCTTTCTTGGAGTTTAACCCAGCTGGCACAAAACTATTTTTCTAGGTGCTCTTTCAGCTGGTTAGTTGACAAGCTGTGAGGCTGTGGCAACCAAGTGCAATTCTGCTTGAAGATGATTTGGAGAAATATAAAGAACAAGCAAATTTTGAAAGCAGCAGAGTTGAGAGCATGAACCCAGGATGTTTCTGCAAGTTCAGCTACACGCTGGCTCTGCCCCTGAAGATGGCTTTTACAGCACTCAAAACAAGACACAAAACACATGGTGGCAACTGCTTCTGCTCAGACTAAGATCAACTATAAGGCAAAATGACAAACAAATCCTACTTTAGTCAAAAAGAAAAAAAATAAATTCTGAAGGGCAGTTCCAGCAAGCCATGCAATTCTGAGGCTCTTCTAACACCTTAGAAGTATTAAAGTAATTCC